TATTTTGAATTTGGGTTCAATATTTCTGCCATACATCACCCAGTCCTGGTAAAGTCTCTACTTGCATTCTTTGTTTTCTTTGGATTTTGTCTTTTTGAGATTATATTCTAAAGGCTAGAAAAGAAGAGAATGTCCCTGACTTTCATTTTCTTACCTTAAGTAAAGAAGAAGCTGTCTTCTTTTTCTCCTTTTGTAAATTAAAAAAAGAGGCTGCATATGTAAGGGCTATTTACTCCAGAAGAAAAAAATACATAGTTCCCAATGCTCATAGCTAAACAATTCTGGTGTTGCAAGGAAGGTAAGATACAAAAATAACTATGTATCAATATAATACTAACAGTGGCTTAAATTTATTGAATGCTTACTACATTTCAGGATCTTTACCTACATTATTTTGTTTAATCCTTACCTTAGTCCACTGAGAAAGGCTGTATTATTACACTCATAATACATATGAAAAAACCAAGGCTTAGGAAGCTGAGCAATTTGCTTGGAGACATATAACCAAGAAGAGACAGCCAGGTCTCAAAATACTATGGTCTGCCACTAATAAGTCCTTCTTCTCTGTGCTTCCTTTACAAAATTATTTATCTATTCATGGGCCTTTGTTCTTCCTAGTAAATTTTAGACTCAATTTGTCAAATTTTACAAATAGCCTGCTGGAATTTTATTTTCAGTGCAAGATCTTTAAAGGTTAATTGAGGGAAATGAGATATCTTAATAACAACTTGTTTCAACCAAAGACCAATGGAATGTTTCTCCATTTACTCAGATGCTCTTTTATATTGCTTCATAAAGATGCTTGCTTTTTCTTCATCAAAGCTGTCTACCTTCTTTATTAGGTTAATTTCTTATTATTTTATAATCTCTGTCTCTATTTAAGTGTTTTTTTTTTTTTAATTTCTGGTGTAAAGAGAATTATTTTCTAAGTTGATATTGTACCAAAAAACCCCTTTTTGTCAGCCTTAACTACGTCTAGTAGTTTCTGGAATTTTGTTTGCTTGTCTTTACAAATGATCATATCATTGGCAAATAATTCCAGGTTTATCTCTTCTTTTCCAATTCTAATACTTCTTTTTACTTATTCTCCAGACCAGTGTTGAACAGTGGAGGTGACAGTGAGCATTCTTGTTTCCTCCTCTGAAAGGATATAAATCTCAAAGAGATATTTGCATAATGTTTGGGGACAGGAATAATCAAGGATGAACTCTTAGCTTTATATTTTTGTTTTTATTTAGATCATAGGAAAATTCTGATCAATTAAGTTATATGTGATTTTTCTCCTTTTGGAGATGTAATGACTCCACTGAGGATATAGATATGGATACATATACTTATATGTAATATATAGTAATATTACATACTATGTGTGCATGGTCAGTCACTTCAGTCATGACCAACTCTTCAGCTCCATGGACTGTAGCCCACCAGACTCCTCTGTCCAAGGGATTTTTCAGGCAAAATAATGGAGTGGGGTGCCATGCCCTCCTCCAGGTGATCTTCCTGACCCAGGGATCAAACCTGCATCTCTCTCTCCTGTATTGGCAAGTGAGTTGTTTATCACTAGTACCACCTGGGAAGCCCCATTATATGTTCTATATTATACTATATAGTTAATAAGATATTATTAATATATATATAAGTATATAATATATAGAACATATAATTGTATTTAGATTTACTTTTACTTCCTCAGGTATATAATGGTCCTTCTGGTGCTGTATGTCTTCTGAACATTTTTAATATTGCTTCCATGACTGTCCTTTGGTTTAAATTTGTCTGAAATATCACCTCTTTATTTTAAACCATTTAATATTCTTTTCCTTTGAAATTTTGTATTACAGATAACATGTTACTGTTTCTTATTTTATAATCTGTGTTTCTAATTTAATTTGCAAGTTTAACTTGTGTATTTATCATTTTTATCCCTACATTTCATTGAACAGGTGAATTTTTCTTGGTTGAAGTTGAAAGTTACATATTCTGTTTATTCTTTGAGTGGTTTTTCCTAAGATTAAAGGTCAATACATATATTCATTTTTTCCCCTAAAGGAGGCATGTCCTTGGAATGGTATCTTTGTTCTGTTTCCATCCTCAGGTTTTTCTTAGGTGTTTTATGTTGGTATCATTTAGACTTTTTTTTTTTTTTTGGCTACGCTGCGCTGCTTGTGGGATCTTATCTCCCTGACCAGGGATCAAACTCAGGCCCTTAGCAGGGAAGGCACCAAGGCTTAACCATTGTACCACCACAGAATTCTCTATTTAGACATTGATTTTCTGTTTTTTATGGATATTTCTTCTTTTTGGCTGTGCTTTGGTCTTTCTTTCAATTGACGTATAATTGGTCTTCTGCCTCTTGTTTGGTAATTGCTTATTTATATTACACCTCAAAAAAGTCTTAATTTCTTTTTTCACACTTGTTTCTCATTTCTTATGAAAGTATTTTTACATTAATATCTCTTTTTTACATGACTACTTTCTTTGAGAACATTTTAAAAGTGTTTTTTTGTGTAGTAAATCTTCTGAGTTCTATGTCTGAACATATCTTTACTTCACTCTCATTTTGAAATTGATATTTTAGCAGAATATATCCTCAGTTCAAATATTAAGTTTTTTATAGTGTAAAAATGTCACTTCATTGTCTCCTTGCTTCCAATGTCCTGGACATGTGACACCAATTTTTATTGTTCTCTTTATGGTTATCTGTTCTTTCTCTCTAGGGTATAATTTATATAATTTTCACTTTGTTTCTGATATTCTTATAATTTATGATAAAGTATTTAGATGTGGATTTTTTAAAATTGTTGATTCTGTTTGACACTATTATATATGTTGAACAATAAAAGAAGATGTGATTGGCCGCATAAACATAATGCCAAATATATTAATCTGCATGAATGATTTTTCATTATTTGCTTAAAACCATCTGAGAAACAATGATTATATATATTTAACAATGATACCTATCCGTTTGTTGATCCTTATTATGTTAGACTCTGTACAAAGAGTTTTATGGGCTTTTTAAAAATTTATTATTTTGAAGTATAGTTGATTTACAATGCCGTGTCAATTTCTGCAGTACAAAAAAGTATTCAGTTGCACATTCTTTTTCATATTCTGTTCTATCATGGTTTATCACAGGATATTGAATAAAGTTCCCTGTACTATATGGCAGGACTTGTTTATATATTCTATACATAATAGTTACATACATGGTTTTATATAACCATTACAACAGCTTCATGAAATAGCTTCTAATGTTATTTCTATCTTTAGAAGATGAGGAATTTGAAGTTTAAAACACTTGCATAACTTGCCCAAGATAGCTTAGCTAAGAAATAGTGAAGCTAAGGCAGGATCTAATTCTAGGTTGTTTAACTCAAGATCTTTCTTAAAACACCGTGTTACTCTGTACTTTTGTCTATATAGACATTATGACAAATTTTCCTACTTAACTGATTAGTGCTCTCAATATATAGCCTTTAGTTTCAAAATTTATTTTTTTTAAGAAGGAATTTTATTTACCTACGACTTTCAAAATCTTGCCTAATTACTTGTATTTATGTGTGTAAGTAGAGGGGAGGCAAGGGGGGAGAGAGGAAGAGCTTTAATACAAATTGCTTTGAGATTAATTTAATAATTTGGCACCACTGTGATGTTAATTGCTGTGTGTTAGAGTGCAGAATGGCTGTACAAAGGGCACAGTTTAGAGGCACTATTTGCTCATTATTTTCCCCCTGCAAATTGCCATCTCCCGGTTACTACTGAAATAATCTCGCTATTAGTAAAATAAAAGTAACAGCCACATTTGAAAGGAGAAAGATTGCTAACAGAGCCGTGGGCAGGGTTCTAAGCCTCTCTGTCTTTGTCAGTAGAAGTTTGCATTTATCACCCATTTGTCCTGTTAACTGCTTTTCTAATATCGCTCCTTGATGCCTAATAACAGGCTAGAAAGGCAGCCTATAGTAGCAAAATCAAATGGTAAGATGCTGGGGCAGCAGTGGGAAGAGTTCAAATGCTGATTCTAGAACAACTCTCTTCTTAGATAATTTTTTCTGAGATTAAATTATACTCTCCAAATACTAATAATACATATGATTTGGGTTTCAAGTAAAAAAGTACTGTTTCAGTTCTTTGATTAGCCATTCACTTTTTGCCACTTCTCTCTTGAATTATCTTACACATTCTGCATTGAATCTGAGAGAGTATTACTGCAGGGAAAAGCGATTTTGACCATAACAGGTAAAACTTACGGACGAGAGATCTGTTTCTTTGGTATTCTTTTACTATACATTCTGTCCCTGTTAGAATATTCTTTATTCTGTCCCTGATAGTTTGGGATAGAACCACGTTTTATTTATAGCTGTTCACTTATAAAAAAAGAGGCTCTTGTGTCCTAAACTTGATAGTGGCTTGATGGCATTCAATTGGTACTTGCTGTTGTGACTGTAACTCTTATAGTTATGTACCTGTCATCATAATAATAGCTACAGGTTCTTGAGACGCATCAGGAATTTGGAGCACATTATTTATGGATTTCTCAACAATCTGTGCGGCAGATATTGTTACCCTCAGTTTACAGATGAGCACAGTGAAGGAAATATCCCAAGGGCACCCAGCTACAAATGTCAGAGCTAGGATTCATATTGAGACCTACCTTAAATACCTCTCATTACCTCCCCAGCAGTCTAATGCAACGTCACCTGTCTTTCTTGTGCTGATTCATTGCCTTTATAGAAATCCTTTTAGCGGCCGCCGTGAGGAGGAAGCCCCTGGAGGGCGGGAGGAGGCGCGGGGGTCCCAGCCGGAGTCGGGGGGCGGGGGCCCCGGGAGGGGCGGCGGGGGCGCCTGAGGTGCGCGCTCCGGCGGCGGCCGGGCCCTTCCCCCGGGGTCGCGGGGTCTCTCACACGCCTGTCTTGTCTCTTCACCCTCAGAGTGCCGTTAAAGGGAAATTGCAAGAATTAGGAGCTTATGTCGATGAAGAACTTCCTGATTACATTATGGTGATGGTGGCCAACAAGAAAAGTCAGGACCAAATGACAGAGGACCTGTCCCTGTTTCTAGGGAACAACACAATTCGATTCACCGTATGGCTTCACGGTGTATTAGATAAACTTCATTCTGTAACAACTGACCCCTCTAGTCTGAAGTCTTCTGATACCAACCTCTTTGATGGTAACGTACCTTCAAACAAGAGCAGTTTCAGTCGAGGAGATGAGAGAAGGCACGAAGCTGCAGTGCCACCTCTTGCAGTTTCTAGCACTAGACCTGAAAAAAGAGAATCTAGAGTTTCTACAAGTTCACAGGAGCAGAAAGCCACTAATGTCAGACAGACTTACGATGATGGAGCTGCAACCCAACTAATGTCCACAGTGAAACCTTTGAGGGAGCTAGCACCCTCTGAAGATGTGATTGATATTAAGCCAGAACCAGATGATCTCATTGATGAAGACCTCAATTTTGTGCAGGAGAATCCCTTATCTCAGAAAAAAGCTACAGTGACACTTACATACGTTTCTTCTCACCCTTCTATTGAAATGTATCGACCACCTGCAAGTCGAAACGCAGACAGTGGTGCTCATTTAAACAGGTTGCAGTTTCAACAGCAGCAAAACAGTATTCATGCTGCCAAACAGCTTGATGTTCAGAGTAGCCGGGTGTATGAGACAGGACGTCTGTGTGAACCAGAAGTGCTTCACAGCTTAGAAGAGACTTACAGTCCCTTCTTCAGAAGCAACTCAGAAAAGATGAGTATTGAGGAAGAAAACTTTCGGAAGAGAAAGTTGCCTGTGGTAAGTTCAGTTGTTAAAGTAAAAAAGTTCAGTCACGATGGAGAAGAGGAGGAGGAAGACGATGACTGTGGGTCCCGGACCGGAAGCCTCTCCAGCAGCGTGTCGGTGCCGGCGAAGCCTGAAAGGAGACCTTCACTTCCACCTTCTAAACAAGCTAACAAGAATCTAATTTTGAAGGCTATTTCTGAAGCTCAAGAATCTGTAACAAAAACAACTAACTATTCTACAGTCTCACAGAAACAGACACTTCCAGTTGCTCCCAGAACTCGAACTTCCCAGGAAGAATTGCTAGCAGAAATGGTCCAGGGACAAGGCAGAGTCCCCAGGATAAGTTCTCCCATTAAAGAAGAGGAAGCAAAAGGAGATAATATAGACAAAAGTCAAGGAACTCAACAGAGGCAGTTGTTATCCCGATTGCAAATTGACTCCGTAATGGCAGAAACTCTGCAGATCAGTCAAGCTGAGATGAGTGAGCTGAGCGTGGCACAGAAGCCAGAGAAGCTGCTGAAGCGCTGCAAGTACTGGCCTGCCTGCAAGAACGGGGACGAGTGCGCTTACCATCACCCCGTGTCGCCTTGCAAAGCCTTTCCCAATTGTAAATTTGCTGAGAAGTGTCTGTTTGTTCATCCAAATTGTAAATATGATGCAAAATGTACTAAACCAGATTGTCCCTTCACTCACATGAGCCGAAGAACCCCAGGACTGCCTCCAAAACGAGTCACAGCACCAGCACCGCCTTCCAGTAGTCAGCTGTGCCGCTACTTCCCAGCTTGTAAGAAAATGGAGTGTCCCTTCTATCATCCGAAACACTGTAGGTTTAACACGCAGTGTATGCGACCTGACTGTACGTTCTATCACCCCACCATTACTGTGCCACCGCGACATGCCTTGAAATGGATTCGACCTCAGACCAGTGAATGACACCCAGTCCTACCTGACGGAAGACTGTGGCGTTTGAAAGTTTCCATCTACTGATGAAAGACATTCTGCAGAATTTGTCAAATCTTTGAAACTTGGAATATATTGCTTTCATAATATGAAGTTTATTGCCTATCTGAAGTGTCTAATTTTTCAAGTTTGTAAGTTTATTAAGTGATTTTAACATTGGGTCTTTGTTGTTTTGTTTTGACTGTGGAAAGACAGTTTAAGGAAAAGCTGAAATCTATTAAAACATTTGAGGCGCAACAAAAAGAATAAAATACTTAGGAGTATATCTACCTAAAGAAACAAAAGACCTATACATAGAAAACTATAAAACACTGATGAAAGAAATCAAAGAGGACACAAACAGATGGAGAAATATACCGTGTTCATGGATTGGAAGAATCAATATTGTCAAAATGGCTATACTACCCAAAGCAATCTACAGATTCAATGCAATCCCTATCAAACTACCAACGGTATTTTTCACAGAACTAGAACGAATAATTTCACAATTTGTATGGAAATACAAAAAACCTCGAATAGCCAAAGTAATCCTGAGAAAGAAGAATGGAACTGGAGGAATCAATCTGCCTGACTTCAGACTATACTACAAAGCCACAGTCATCAAGACAGTATGGTACTGGCACAAAGACAGAAATATAGATCAATGGAACAGAATAGAAAGCCCAGAGATAAATCCACGAACCTATGGTCACCTTATCTTCGACAAAGGAGGCAAGGATATACAATGGAAAAAAGACAACCTCTTTAACAAGTGGTGCTGGGAAAACTGGTCAACCACCTGTAAAAGAATGAAACTAGAACACTTTCTAACACCATACACAAAAATAAACTCAAAATGGATTAAAGATCTAAATGTAAGACCAGAAACTATAAAACTCCTAGAGGAGAATATAGGCAAAACACTCTCCGACATAAATCACAGCAGGATCCTCTATGACCCACATCCCAGAATTTTAGAAACAAAAGCAAAAATAAACAAATGGGACCTAATGAAACTTAAAAGCTTTTGCACAACAAAGGAAACTATAAGCAAGGTGAAAAGACAGCCCTCAGATTGGGAGAAAATAATAGCAAACGAAGCAACAGACAAGGATTAATCTCAAAAATATACAAGCAACTCCTCCAGCTCAACTATAAATGACCCAATCAAAAAATGGGCCAAAGAACTGAACAGACATTTCTCCAAGGAAGACATACAGATGGCTAACAAACACATGAAAAGATGCTCAACATCACTCATTATCAGAGAAATGCAAATCAAAACCACAATGAGGTACCATTACACACCAGTCAGGATGGCTGCTATCCAAAAGTCTACAAGCAATAAATGCTGGAGAGGGTGTGGAGAAAAGGGAACCCTCTTACACTGTTGGTGGGAATGCAAATTATTACAGCCACTATGGAAAACAGTGTGGAGATTTCTTAAAAAGCTGGAAATAGAACTGCCATATGACCCAGCAATCCCACTTCTGGGCATACACACTGAGGAAACCAGATCTGAAAGAGACACGTGCACCCCAATGTTCATCGCAGCACTGTTTATAATAGCCAGGACATGGAAGCAACCTAGATGCCCATCAGCAGACGAATGGATGAGGAAGCTGTGGTACATATACACCATGGAATATTACTCAGCCATTAAAAAGAATTCATTTGAATCAGTTCTAATGAGATGGATGAAACTGGAGCCCATTATACAGAGCGAAGTAAGCCAGAAAGATAAAGACCATTACAGTACACTAATGCATATATATGGAATTTAGAAAGACGGTAACGATAACCCTATATGCAAAACAGAAAAAGAGACTCCGATGTATAGAACAGACTTGTGGACTCTGGGAGAAGGTGAGGGTGGGATGTTTCAAGAGAACAGCATCGAAACACGTATATTATCTAGGGTGAAACAGATCACCAGCCCAGGTTGGGTGCATGAGACAAGTGCTCGGGCCTGGTGCACTGGGAAGACCCAGAGGGATCGGGTGGAGATGGAGGTGGGAGGGGGGACCAGGATGGGGAATACATGTAAATCCATGGCTAATTCATTTCAATGTATGACAAAAACCACTGCAATGATGTAAAGTAATTAGCCTCCAACTAATAAAAATAAATGAAAAAAAAAATAAAAAAAACCCATTGCTTCAAAAAAAAAAAAAAATTTGAGGCATGTTTGTAAAAAAAAAAAAGAAATCCTTTTAATCTTTATTCCTTGGTACCATGCCGTTCAGCACCTTGGCTATGAGGAGTTTAAACACTGAAATCCGGTGCCAAAATCTGTGTTTTTATTTTCAGAGCACATTTAACATTTGATAGTTCTCTAAATAAAACATTTCCTTGCTCAATAATTTTGAGTGAATTCAGACTTGCATCCATTGACCATTGGGCTGGAGGTGCAAGGGCAGGAATCATGTGCATACATAAAGCAAGACTATTCATTTGTTTTTTGTATTTTCTAGGTTCTCTTTCCTTAACATTGCTAATCTTGTAAAATAATTATGCCTTTGATCCTATATAACCACCTGATGGATTGCTACCAAGAACACATCTATAGATCTGATCCAGAGAGGAAGCTGTCATCGATCTGACTGAACCATTTGATGCATTTCCCCCCATTACTACACAGTGCTTGTAATGAATAGTTCCCTGGGATCTCTACAGCTCAAAGACTAATTTAAATTAGATAATATGGTTTGTATTTAGCACCATGGATGTCTGTCTATTCATACGCTGTCAAACATGGTAGTCACTTTGCCATAGCAGGCTGTTTTAAATCAGTTAAAGTGAAATAGAATTAAAAACCAATTTCTCTGTCACACTAATTACATTTCAAGTGCTTTATAGTCCCATGTGGCTAGTGGCCACTGTACTGGACAATGAAGCTATAGAACAATTCCATCATTGCAGACATCTCTATTGGACAGTGCTAAACTATAAAGAAGACAGAAATGAAGATGATGATTGGCATCGCTGAGTTATAGAATATAATGGGTCATGATGCACTGCAATTCCCTCTGCTTTATTTGTCTTCCTAGGTGGCGGTTGGGAAGAAGGAATTTGGTCTTGTGTGTATGTATTCTTGTTAGGTAAGACAGTGACTGACTCCCAGGGGTTCAGTAAATATATGTTCAATGCTCTGTGAATGAGATCAAGAAAAGAAGTTGAATATGGGAGAATTCTTGGAGGTTATAGAATAGAGTACTATTCTATACTTGGGCAGTATAATAGATATTGGCAGTATAGTATGATATTCTATATTTATACTACTTGGGCAGTATAAATAAAAGTCATTTTTTCTACCTGAAATATGTCAGCCTTCGTAATGGAATAGTTGATCAAGGAGTGTTTCAACATAGAAGAGATAACAATTGTCCAGATTTCAAAGCCTAATGCCACATGTCATCAGAAAAGAAAAAGGCCAGAGTTTAATATATCATCAAGTCCAGTTGACTCTGATATGGATGGGATGGCTGTCAAGTCATGGAAGAACACTTTGCTGCTTCCAGTTGAAGGAGACTCAAAAAGGAAAATAACTTTTTTATTCAAAGTATTTTAATTTATTTCCTCTTCTAGAAGTAAGTCTAGAATAAAGGAATCCCTAAGCCTGTAAAAAATAGAGCAAGGTTTTAGATTACAGCAAAATATGGTGCTGTTGTCTCTTTCTTTTCATATATCGCATATTTAGTAAGTGTGTTACATGTAAACAAAGAGAATGCGTTACAATTGTGGTCGCAATAGCAGAACAAATGATTTTTTTGTTGTTGTTGGCACAACTAGTGAGGTCTGGGGTATGGAGTCAGAAGGTTCCATTTGGTGCTGTAGAAGAGAGTTGAACCTGGGATTCAGCTGACATTTCTCTTGCCTCTGATTCACCAAGTGTCTTATGACAGGCCATGTTTCATACAGTCACTGAGGAAAACAATCACCTCACACTGTAAGTGACACTTGTGTTCTATGGTTTGTATTATTCTCAGTGCCTAAGTCATTTCAAGGTGTCTCCGCATACTTTTCTCTTTGCCAGGGGCTAGATCTGCTGATCTCTGTCTGTGGACATGCCCTGGGGTTGCTTTTCCACTGACAATGGAGGCTTTTTATGCAACAACTCACATCTTTTCATCTGGTCCTCATTTTACCTGGACAAGCATTTTTGATTTAGTGACCTATAGCTATAGTACAGCATGGGGACATCTTATCTCAATATGGGTTAGATTTGACTCCTAATTTTGATTTCCTTAACTAGATGCTCTCAGCAACTGAGAAGACTAGGTAATCAAAGTCATATTCCTTAGGCTTTGATTTTATAACTTTTCCTGTGAGTGTGGCCAAGGTGGGTATCCTGAGATGAGAACACAGCAATATTATTTTGCTATGGTCCTGAAGTTAGATGTAGAGACTGAGAATGCATTGGCTCCTGGTTGCCTGAAATTCTGTTCCCCCAAATGTAGTGCTACAGAAGAAAGAGAGATGGAAAACTCAAGGAAATTAATCTGCCAATTGTTCTTTTAGAAATCATTTCTGGTTACAGTTTTTTTTTTTTAATCTAAATATCTAAGTACCTCATCTTTTCCTCTAAATACTCTATAGTTATGAGAAATTTCAGGGAAAAGTAAATCTTTTCATACCTTTGGCACCGTTTGCTGTCAAACTGATTGGAAGGAAGTACAGTAAGTCTCCTACATAAGAACCTTCAACTCTGAAAGATGCAAAGGTGTGTTCTATCAACATCAGGCATGAGTGAAATTGCAGCTTGCTCTCCATCTTCTATCACTGAAGATCCTTCAGCCCTCGGCTTGTCTGTTGGCGCTATTGGTAAAGAATCTGCCTGCCAGTGCAGGAGAAAAAAAGAGATGTGGGTTCTATCCCTGGATCTGGAAGATCCCCCTGGAGTAGGAAATGGTACCCCACACCAGTATTCTCACCTGGAAAACCCCATGGACAGAGGAGCCTGGTGGGCTACAGTCCGTGGGGTTGCAAAGAGT